TTTATATGAGGTTCAACTCCATCCGGATCATTTTACGAAAAATACATTATAGATTAAAATTCTAATACAGAAATCTTTTACAAGAAGTGAGAAATGACAAATTATTGTCGAAATGAAGACTTTTTCATTTAACTTTATGAGATTCCAAACTAACATCGATAGATATCAAAGCTTAAAAATGACCAGCACTAATCTTAATTTAGCTTCTTCACTTATGATTTTTTTCCAGATTCCTATTATCATTTCTACATCACTAGTAAGTTCTAGATCAGAATTTTATTAAAGAAAACTTTTTTTTTTTTTTTTGAAAAAGCGCTAAAACAATGAATATTATTTGGTGCACTTCCAATTTTGAACATTTTTTAAAATCAAATGTAACTTTTTTGAAATTTTTTTTTTGCAAAATTGGGTAATCCTAGAATAAATCTACTGAACATGAAAAATTTGAACTATTTACACTTTTACAATACTTTCTGCTGTTTAACATTTACGCGTCAAAATTTACGACTAATTTTAACTAAAATAAAATTCCTAAAAGATTATTCACTCTCATTCATATGACTTGAATGAAAACTTTAAGTAAGTGAGGCAAATTTGTACATATATTATAAATTATAGAAATTAAATATTTGTAACACCTTTTTCAGAAATAAAACCAGAATCATGTATTGTATGTCCATCATTGGTTATCTTTTTCTCCGACAAATTACTACTATCAATGATTGGAAAGTTATTCAATTGATTGAATTGATCAGCATCATTAGTATAATTATCGGTTGATGTGACAATTTGAATTTTTACAGGATCTGTTAAGCTTTCTGATTGCAAAACTATTCCAGAAGAAACCATTGTTACACTTTCATGACCATCCGATAATTCAGATAATATTTTTGGTTGAGTTAATATCTGCGGCTCTTTGATATCAATATTTTCCGATTCATCAATAAGCTTTTCCCTATTATGCCGAATTGGAACCACCCGATTCTGTTTATTAATGGTTGTTGGTCGTGCAACACGCCAATGAGTATTGATAAACCAGTTCGAATCATTTTCCAATATTTTTGACGTTTCCGTAACGGTTTCTGTTAATTTTGCGTATGCTGAACTGTACGCAACAATTCGTGAATCATTTTTAGTATCTGAATTGGTTAAATTCGAAATTAATGCGGCAATATTATCGGGAATTATATATTGTAACGAGCAGCTTAGCGGTGGTAAAACGAACAAAGGTAGCGTATATTTGAATCGAACCGATATTACCGATGAATGCCTGAATTGAAAGAAAAAAAAAGAGAAATGAAGTTAATTTAAATTTGAAACAATCTTTGAATAAATTCCTAGATTTATCATTCATTGAAGAAATTAATTTAAAATAATTTTTTTAATTCCAAATAATTGTATTGAAGTTCCAAATTTTAAAACCTTAATTAATATAACTGTCATTTCTTTTTTCCGAATTAAGCTACTATGGATAGCAAATTTGCAACAGTATTAGGATGCTACCATAGAAAAAAAAAAAACATATTTTAAATGAATGCAGAATAATTTTCTTTGGTTCAAATGTTTAAGCTAGAAGTTTATTTGAGAAGGACATATTTAGACTTAACGTTTAAGATGCTAATCAAAATATGCTTGGATCCAAAGCAAACATTTTTTTGATTGTGAAAAAATATGCGTCATAATTTTATTAACTAAATTTAGAAATTTTAACGATGATAATATTATCATCGTTGATTATGACGACCGTTCGATTCTATTCATTTGAACAATTTTAAACAATTGTTAAAACATTTCATCTGATGTAATTAATTTAAAAAAAAAAAATCATTCATGCAGATGGCTTACATCAATACTTGGTCGATTTGTTTGTCAAATAAACCATCAAGTGGTTCAGATTTCTTTCGTTCAATATGATATTCTTGCTGTATTTTACATCGATAATGATAATATGCTCCTTCAGAATTGATAATAACCACTTTGTCAGCATTCATAATTGATACGCTGATATAATCCAGAAGATTGCGCTCAATTTGAGCAACATCCCAAACATCCAACTGGAAATTTATCGTTTGCCATGTTTTGAAATAACATATCAATTTCATATTTTTGTTCACCTAATTTCTCGTTCTAAATTTACTTAATTAATCTTATAAATAAGTTATATTTTATCAATCGTATATTTATGTTGTTAAATAATTTAAGGAAATATTATGAATAAATTTTAAAAACAAATAACTCACGTGAACATCGAAACCAAATACGTTACGCAAATATTCCGCAAAGAGTAAAACACATTTTTCATGTAACAAATTATCATGTGAATAAATCAGTAAAACATTAAGTCGCGCTAAAATGAATTATTAAATTGATGGAATCTGTTACATCTAATAATTTTCAGACGTAATTACTTTAAAGAATTTACTTGAAATTTCTGAAAATTTCTTGACTAAGAATAAATTTCTTATTTTCAAAAAAATTCTCTTTGATATCGAATACTTCAATAGAATACTTTGTAGATAATTGAGAGACAAAAAAAAAAAAAGATTTCAAATTTTAAAATGAAATCAAACCAATATGAATTAAAGGTGCTTGACTATTGGATGAGGCTGTTAAAGTTGTCGAAGGTGGACGATCGGTCACAAATCGTATTCGTATTGCTTTACTGGTTAGTCGACGACGAACGTGATATAAATATAAGATATAAAATAGGAAAAATATCATCAAACATATAGCCAAAAGCATTGTTGCTAAAACTGTTGTCCTATAATGAATTAAAATGTTAAAAGTTCAGAAAAAAAATCACCAAAAATAAACTTAAGTTCAAAACCAAATCTTTCACATATTGCTCATAATGACAAATGATTATGCAAGTATTAAGAATTATACGGAGAAAATCGTATCGAATAAATGAAAATACTTTGTAAATATCACCTCAATACGTTACATCTAGGAAAATTAACGATTTTATGTTTCGTAGTTAATTTGAAACTTGAGATTTCCATGAAATACCACAATTAAAATAAAAAGCGACTGCTAATAAAATGAATTAACTTTGATAGATAGCTTAATCAAGAAGATGAACTAAAAGAAATAATTAAACAGCTAATTGGTAATGCTAATTTTCGTTAAGAGATTAATAATAAATTGTATCAGAAATTGGGAAAGTGATATGTTTGAATGTAACAGATTAAAATAATAACCAAAAATAAAAGTTGCAAATTTTTTTTTTATCTTTTAATAATGAAAATGATTTCAATGCTTACCATATATATCCGGAAGCATTATTCTCTGCACGCAAAATTAAAGTATTATTTCGTCCTAATCCTGATGTAACGACCAATGGTTTTTCCATTCCTGGAATTGTAATTAGTGAAATTTAATCAAAAAAATTCTTTAAATTTTAAACAGTTTATTTTTTACAAATTTTAAAAACTCCAAAAAAATGAAAGTTCTCTTTTTTGAAAGTTCTCACTTTTAAATATTACAAATTAGACTTACTCTGAATTCGAACTTTATGCCAATCAGCAGCAATACAGGAGCATACCATTCGGTTATCAAACGGACTGGTACTCAATACTGGACAAAGGCAACGACCATCACGAGAACGTTCGATCGGTATGACAGATGGCATAAAATATTGGTCCACCTGAAATAGAAATAAAATGATTCTATTTTTTTTTTAGCAAAACAATTGAAAATTACAACAATGGATTATACAACTGGTTTTTCAGTTAATGCATTTCGTTACTGTTTTTTATCAAATGTTACAAAATAAAGATCAGTTAGTTTTGAAATTCAGAGTAATGAAACGTTAAGCAACAATTTGAAATAATTTTTACTAAAAGTTTTTACTTAGTATAATACTGACAATAATTACTAGTGAAAGAATGTGATAACAAAAGAGAAATTATCAATGATAAGAATAGCGTGTTATCAATGGTAATCTTCAAGAATTGGATCAATTTAAAAAAAAAAAATAATCTGAAAATTACTTATTGAAAAGAAGGCTACCATGATGTAACTTATTTCTATAACTTATCAAAATATAACTTAAGTATAAGAGAGTTTTTTAAATGATACCTCTAAATTAGTAAAGTTGTACTGGCCAAAAAGGATAGTTTGATTACCAAAGTATTCCATATACATCAATTCAACTGGTACCACTGCACTATGAAGCAATTCCAGGCCACTTTCATCCTTCAATCGTACCTCATAACCTTCGAAACAGTAATGAGGTGGTGCACCCACAAATTCCACCTGAATTGTTCGTGCTAATGGATGCACTAAAATACGTCGAAATCCACCAGTCCATCGTGATGCTTGCAAATTTGCTAAATGAAAATAATTTTAAAATTCATAAAAACGAGTAAAAAAAGAGAAACTACAAAAAATTTAGAAAGTAATTTTTTTAAAAGAAGCTTTTTTTAATTTTGAATTTTTTATAAAATTAACTTCACCATATTACAAAATTCTGATTGGAATTTGAAAAAAACATTGAATGCTTAGTCAAAGTTCGAAAAAAAATTTACATGTTCGCTTACAATCGTATTCAGTGCCCGTATCATTGTAATAATCTGGAAAAAAAAAGAATGAAAATAATCCAAAATCAAGTAAAACATATTTGTTACCGCACAAACATATATGAAATTCAGAATGTAAATTTTATTCCTAAATTTAAATATCAAAATTGCTTGATCATTTATTTGTATCCAATTTTTTCAGTTATATTGAAAATAGTTTCCAATTTCGGCTTACTGGATTGTTCTGCTCAAAATTATTTTGTCGATTATTGTGCAATCATCAATTTTTCATATTTAATTTCAATATTTGTTCGTTTCTACTTTCCAAAATATTACTTCATTTCTATCAATTTTTTCCTATCTCTTTCGTACCTTTAAAAAAATGAATATTTACCGGGATGATGTGGCATCAGGACATGTTTCCGGAGAATCGTTGTATGGTTTTTCTTTTTCGATAAACTTATCAATTTAATATCGTAAGTCTCATCAAATTCGAATAAACTTTCGGAGGTGAAATGAAATCGAGGCTGAAAATAGGTTAATTATTTTTACTGCTACTATTATTCATTTAAGAGTTGGCAGCTTTCAACTATTGCTAGTATATTTTCAAAGTTATTCATGAAACTTTGAAGTTTTTTCAAGTATTTTTAATATTATACTTTGAAATTCGAACAGCTTTTTGTTGTGAAGAAAAATTGAATTTTGAAATTCAAAATATATTCAACCTTCGCCTTTAAAAATTTGAAATGTCAGCCATTTTCAAGAAGAAATTATATCTCAAATTGATTTTTTAAATAAAAATCAAATTAAATTTTGCTTCCAAAAAAGTAATAATTTTCCCGAACAAATATTTTTAAAGCTAATTCTTCAAATTAAAGTAACATTTAAAGACAATGAATTGGACAGAATTCTTTTCTTTTTTTTTTTAAAGAATTTAGTATCAATTAATTTTGGAGCTATTTTTCGAATAAATAAGAAAAGGAAAAGAACAATATCAATGGAAAAAAAAAATTATTGAAATAAAAAATGAAAAGAAGATGAAGCAAACCACAGTAGCAATCAAATTACTGTTCCAACGAGAATTTGAAATATCAAAATGAAAGCAAAATCGATTAGATGAGGTATCTTCAATTTCCAGTATAAATCCCAGCAACAATGATGTAAAATCTGTAAATATTTTATAACAGGAAGAGAGAGAGAGAAGGGGAAAAAGAGAAAGAAAGAGAAAAACAATATTATCATTTAAAAGCTAAATTTTGAAGAAACGAAAAAAAATGGTTGAAATTAGTAGTGATTTTTTCAATTTGAGAATCTAAAACTTTCTAATATTATAAAGCTATAATTTATTTCTTAGTTGTTAGCAATTTTTATCACAAAAGTGCTTAGCTTTCAATGTCGATCGATAAATATGAATATTCATTAGTATTTTCTCATCATTAAAAGATAAAGGCAAAAAGAATGGAAAAAAAAAACAACTTTCAAATATTCTATTCATTGTTATGTCATAAAAAAAGAATCCGAGCATTCTAAAATGTATAAAATACGGTTGAATTCATCACAGAATATATTAACAGATAAGTGTGGTTGATTTATGATTTACAAAATAAATAAACTGATTAAATTCTTTGTCATTTCTATTCAATTTCCATCTTTTATTACTTAACGTTCATTCTATTTATCTGTAATTTAATCAAAAATTTAAAGATTAAATATTTTACATATAAATATTTTATATTTGAAATAGATTTTCTATGTCGAATGCAATTATCTTCAAATAATCTTTCAGATATTTCGATTATAATACAACGTTGATTAGTTTAGGATTAGCAAATAGTTGTTTAATATTTTCTAAATTTGATTAAAAATTTCATACTATTTTGAACAGAAATACTAATTTTAATATGGTTTTCATCACTAACCTATAACAATTCCGAAAATTTTAAACAGTAAATTGGAAATGATTGCAATATATTGCTACTAACTAAACCTAAACATCTCATTCATCAGTAGCCTAACTAAAAAATCATTAATGTTATGAAATTTATTCAAACGAATAATGATACTATCAATAAGTAATATATAATCTATTAATCGGTTATCGGTTATCATAATTAATTTGTTACAATAAGTAAATGTATACTGAAAATGATATAACGTAACTATTTGGAGGTAATTGCCATGAGATATCGACAGATAACTGATATGTTTGCTTATCATAACGGGTAACAACACGAGCAAATGGTTCCACCCGAATATCATGCGCATATGTCATCGTTGTATCACTTAATTTGCTAATATTATTGCTGTTCTCGTTGACTGTTACATTTCTATCATCGCATTTTACTAAAATAATTGATAGTAATGATTAATACTTATTTTAGCCAAAATACTGTTAAAATATTTCTTCTAACAAAATTGTCAAGAAATTATTAAATGAACAGTTAGTGATAATATTATAATCATATAAACAGTGAGTATGATAAAAAATAAAAAAAAAAATAAAAAACAGACTAATAATGATAGTCGTTTAAATTATATATCATTAATGACTTCATTTATGTGTTAATTAGAATAATGATAATTCGAATTATTTAAACTTAGCTGAACAATAAAGATACCAATATTATTAGGAAGTGGTTTTTCAGGATTGTATATCGATACCAATTTTTTTTTTTACTGTCCTGACATTACAATGACATGTGACTGAATGGGAATTTAAATTCAAATCCGATCATGTATTATCTTCTACGAATTTCAATCCAACCAATCACACATTATCTTCTATGAATTCCGATTCAATTACATATTATCTAACGAATTCCGAGTCAGTTGTACATCATTTTGTATGAATTTTGAATCGGCCTGCCATACGTCATCATCTTCCACAAATTCCGATTCATATTCTCTATCAGATATCAACGCAATGTCAGCAAAGAATTTTATTTATCATAAAAATACAACAATACTATGCAATCTTTCTTTCAAGTGAATAATTTTTGATATTTTGAATAATCATTTCATTTATTTTTAATAAATATGATAGAAAAAGAGAGATATTCATACCTGAGCGAACAGTGCATGCGAAATCCTGAAAATGTTTCTCTTATTATCTAAATTATTTCTAACTTATAAAATTAACAAAGCGAAATAGAAGATCCATTAATTTTAATTAGCTTAAATCGAATTTAGCTAAAATTAGTTTATCAACATTTTAAGTACATTCGAAATTAATCAGTTAATTCCACTTTCTATCTGATGAATTAAAAGAAAAGGGAAAAAAAGAAGGAAAGGAAAAAATTTGCATGGTAAAAATTCACTGCGTACCATTATTACATTGATAATAGTAATTATTTACTATGATAATTTGCTATTTAATTATAAAAAAAATTTTAATTTGAAAAAAATCTAGTACCATATAATATACTTCTTATAAACATTCCGTAAAATTTAATTTTTTGAAATCTATTACACCAATATTTTTTTTAAATATATTTCATAAAATTTAATTTTTTCTTCTCCTCACTTCTCTCCATTTTTTTTTCTTTTTTGCATCCGATCATTTAAAAACAAAAAGAAAAATAATTTAATTAAATTTGAATTTGCAATCTGTTATATATTAATTGATTACCTTATAATTGTAATCAGCACAATTATCATGAAATAATAGATTAAAATCGATGTTCATCGTTGTGACAACAACAATAATAACAGTAATTAAACAACAGATCACATCAATCCAATACGCCATTCGATTCAATCCAACCAATGATTAATGCCTTTTCTTTTTTCTTTGTTATTTTTGTTTTTCTCTTTCTTTTTTTTTTCTTTTGATCAGTTAATTTGATAATAACAAATAATTTTTTTTTTAGTTAATATCACCAATACTGTTAGTGATAGCAAATGATCCTAACAGTAATGATTGTAATTGATGGTGATAATTGTGATAGTGATGATTATAATTGATAGAAGTTAAAGATGGACGTTCAAAAAATAACGGGCCGTTCTCCTAAAAAGAGAAAAAAAAAATGAAAAAAAAAAATTGATAAAATAATGGTTTGGGGAATGTTTGCTGTGAGAAATGAAAATTTTCTCCCTCCTATTTTCACCCAATAATTTCACTATCATATTATTCGATAATTTTTCGCTCGTTTTTATTATGCTATTATTATGTAGTAGCAATAATAATAATAATGATAGTAATAATCATAACAGTGATATAAATGACATTGATAATAATGATAGTAATGATCACAATAACAGTAATAACAGTTACAATGATAATAATAATAATAATACAAAGAAAAAAAAAATTGATTGTGCCCTTTTATTTAAGCAAATATGTATGCTTACATAAATGTGTACGCGTCTGTATGTATATGTATATGTGTATGTGTATGTGTGTATGTCTATTTGTGTATGTGTGTGTATGTATGTATCTCTATGTATGTGTGTATGTTTCTATTTTGCACTTAAATTATATTTGGTTAATTTTTCATCTAACATATCATAATGGATATATAATATATGAATGTATAATTTAAATCTGTCTCTTTAAGCTCTATTTATTTATGTATGAAATTTGAAATATTAACCAAATAGTTCAAAGATAGAAATAAAAATGTACTTCGAAAGTATAATAGATGACAAATTATTAAGTATTGATTTTTACATTGATCTGAAAAAAAAAAAAGCGAAAAAATAAATAAATGAGTAAAGTAGCGATGAAGAAAGTGGAAGAAGTGATGTTGACAAAAATGAAATTTGAGGTTGAAAATATATTTGATGAAGAGAATGAATTGAAAAGATGGAGAAGAGAAAGGAGAAAAGAAAGTTGAGAGATGAAAAAAAAAAAGTGTGTGTATGTGTTTAAAGTAATGAAAATTAATTATAAGCTAGCTAAGGATGATCATACAAATTGATAAATGAATGATTATTTACTGGTAGGATTGGTAAATAACATATGAGAATGATGTTCGAAAAAAAAAATGAAAATGAGGAAAGGAAGGAAAAAGAGTGATAGGAAGAGGGAGAGAGAGAGAGAGGGAGAGGAAAAAGTGGATAAATAAAAATGAACTTTTGATAGAAAATTTGAGAGCAAAAAAAAAAAAGGAGGAAAAAGTAGAGAATCGATCGTTTCTTTTTCTGTTTTTTTTTTTCTTATCGTTTTCATTCAATAGAAAAAAAGACAGGAGTAGTCATTTTAATGAATATGATAAAGTGTTTTAAATTTCGCAAGTACATATGTTCCAATCAAAACATCAAAATGATCCATATGTGTGCACACACATCCATACAGAGAAGTACATGCACACACACGCATACAGACACATACCCACGCACACAGACGCAACCCACGCACACACACGCACATACGCACACAGACGCAACCCACGCACACACACGCACACACACACACACACACATACGCACAAAAATGTAAACACACGCATGCATACACAGAAGGACATACATACACACAAATATACATAAATGTTTGAAGATGTACATCGCATACAAATGTATTATTATTTAAATATGTGAAGTGATAAACTTCAAGCTAACATTCAAACTAGCCAATTAAACAAATAAAAAAAAAATTTGATTTCGAAATGACGGCGACAAGTAAACGTCTCGTTTGAAATGCGAAAAGCAAACAGAAGCGGCAACCCAATAGGGTGGTAATACGATGGAAAATGCATCCGGTATATTCCTGAATATTTGTTTAATTATATCGATGTTTGAAAGGTTTCGATGATTTTAATATCGATCATCAAACAATATCAGCTTTAAAAAAAAAAAAACGCAAACTATAAGTGAAAAGAAAAAAAAAAGCGGAATCTCTCTTTCTCTCCTTCTATCTCTCCAAAAGATAGATTGACCGATATCAATTGTATTCAAATTATCATGTCATTTTTTTTTTGCTTATATTTTAAGAAATAAAAAATTATATCAAAAATAGAGGAATATACTGTACATGCATATCACAGATAATAATTATTATAAAAAGATCCAGAAAATCGTGGATAGAATTATTTTGGAAATCTCTAATTTTTCTCATTTTCAGAATTCATGTAATTCAAATATATATATATATTTCTTAATTCTTGAATTGATATTTCAATATTGTAAGAATTGTATGGCGAAAATTATTTGATACACTGACATGAACTGAATAATATTAATTTATTACCGAACGTACTACAAATCGTCTTACTTGAATTCCATGAATTCTGAAAACCACATCATTTTTATTAATGATATATTCGGAATAAAATAGTTAACTATCAAAAGAGAAGAAGCCGATAGAAGGAGAGAAAAAAGTGATGGAAGAAATGGAAACATTGAATATATCAAAAAGAACAAATAAAATTAATATTGCAAATTTCTACAATTTATAAATAAGTGGAACGATTGTAAAAATGAAAGCAAAGAAAAAAAAGGTTAAAAGGAAATTGTTGGTGCTTCTTATTTAATGTATTTTTAATGGGTTTTTAAAGCAAAAAATAAAATTTGAAAAAAAAAATTCCACGATATCTTTCTCTTTCTTTGCAAATTATACTTTTAAAAGAAAAGAAAAAATGAAAAGGACATGCATAAGTTTGATGAATTCTTGCTTTAATCAAATAATTAATCTGTTTCTTTCTCTTTTTCTTTTTGTTGTTTTGCATAATTTCTTTTTCATGGCATGTGAGGAAAAGTTAGGATATTATCAGTTCTCGAGAAGCTACAATATATCAAAAAATTGCTTCTCCCTCATCATTTTAAATCTGTTAAAATGTGATATTGAAATATGCCGAAGAAGGTGATTTGTCATAGCAAAAAGTACCATGGCAACCGATTTATAATAATGTTTTGATGCAATTTATCGTTGCATGATACCTTTTATCATGTCGTTATTACCGGTATTATTAACTCCTTTTCTTTTCCTTTTTCTTTCTCTATTTCTAATGATTAATGTTATTAATTCTTCACTTATAATTTAATTAAAAAGCAAAAAAAAAGCATGATAGGATTTTGAAGATTAATAGTTAATTCTTAAAGTAGTAGCTCTTTTTTCAACTTTCTACAATTTAAATTTCCCATTTTTTTCTGTTCTTTTTAAATAACAACTGCTACTACTGCATCTATTTCAATTTTAAGAAAAAAAAAAGTAAGTAAAAAAAAAGAAATGCAAACTGTTTTATGTCAAATATTTCACTTAACTGTCAATTATGTAAAATAAGAAGTGTTCCCAATTTGTTGATATATAATAATAATGATATCAATATCATTGAATCAATTTTGCGAATATTAGTTAACCTATTTGATTCATTCCATTTTAATCGTTGATTGCATAATTAAATAATCTTTTTTTTTTAAATGAAAAAAAAATAACCACAAATAAAATCATTTGTCAATTTTACAGTAAAATCTCACAAAAATTTAAATGATTTATATAAAATTTTTCAATGCATAAATGTTGCATACAATCAAAAAAAAAATAAAAAATAAAAAATGTGTGGTAACTTTAAAGCTAACCTGATAATAATTTTTTGTGAATTGTTGCAACTAATTTGTATTGTATTTTTTAATTTTGCTTTCATTTATTTTTTTTTCGTTTTTATTTTGTTATACAAAATGACTTTTCTCACTTTGTTGTTTTTGTTTTTATAACAACAGTACTCTTTGAAGAAATGAAGTTTTGTATGAACAGCTTATTTTGCTATATTGTAGCTGAAAAAAAGAAAAATTTATATGCATTTTTTTAATGTAAATTATACAAAGAAATTCTGCAAAATTTTAAAACGTAAAAGTTTTAAATTCAAAATTATATGCAAGATGTACATGGAAAAAAAAAATTTGACAAGATAGGATTTTAACCGAAAAATTAGTCAGAATTACTGATTTAAAATTGATATTTTAACAAAATTATCAGAATTGAAATGGAACGAAAAAAAATTAACAATCTAAAAAAAAAAAATTGTTATTAGTAAGCACGTGATGGCATTAATATGCCCTTTTTTACATAAAAAATTGAGCAGAAAATTTTTTAAAAATTAAATAAATTTTTCGATTAATTTATTTATTAGTTCTCTTTATTTTTTCTTCTTTTTTTGAAAATCAAATGATTTATTTGATTTTATAGTAATAGTAGCATAAAAATGTAAAATGAAAAATTGCATGCAATGCAAAATAGCGTGATAAAAACGTGATTAAACGTATGAGTTTTAATGATATATTTGTATAATAAAAAATTAAGATAACGAATATGGATTATAAGCCTAATGATCCTCGACGTCATTACATCTTGCGTGTTGCTTCGCATATTTTTGCACTGAATTTATCGGAAAATAAAATTCCAAATTTGATTCCCATACAAAATTTTTGTGATACCAATACGCCATTACTAATTATTGCCAAAGATGAACGGGTTTGCAAGCTTTTTTAATTTTTTGAAAATTTCATATCAAAGCAAATGATTTTTCTATTTTTATTTCAGAATAGAATATAACAGAATTTTTGGTGCAAATGATTATTGCAGTTATTATATTATAATGATTATTAATGAAGCAAATTTTAAATTCATATGGAATTCAAATTTCAGAAAAATACATTTGATATTACGAATGAAATGCGAAATAATCATCATTCAGATTTAACGCAAGTAATTTTTTACAAACTTGAAGCAATTGCTCTGCCACTGGATAATTATAAAAGTAAAATATCAGTACTGTCATTACGTGGACGTCCAACGGATGCATTGATCCATTCAATGAAAGAAGTTTGTAATTTAAATAGTCATTTTATGATAATTATTTTCATACTGATGTTTTTAACTAACGATTTGTTGATAACGCTAGTGATGAGTTGCAGTAAAGGTACTTGTAATAAAATATACATATATAAAATCTTTCAATAATTAAGGTTATCTTCATATATGGATTTTGTAAAATGAAATTTTAGATATTCAAGCATACAATTGAAAACGATTCCGAAACATCCGCAAATAGCCATTTAAATACGATTTTAAATGAACTTGAAATGTGCATCAAACCAAAAAATGACACAGGTAATTTACAAAAACAAAAAAAAACAAAAAAAAGGAAGGATTAAAATTTTTAGCGTGTATCGTTGTCTGATAACAAAAATAATTAGCATTTTTTCTTAAATTTTATTATCATTTTTTTTTTTTCAAATATTAATCATAATTTAGAAAAGCGATCTATACATGATGAGATTAATTATTGGAAAGCCCGCAAGGACAGTGTTGCATTGCAATATTCTCAAGCATTTCAAATTCTTGATATGAAACTTGAAATGCTTATGAATTGTCGCATAGATGAAATTTATGAAGTTATTGATGCTGCTGAAGACTGTTTAAATCAACTTTGGAACTGTGAACCATCATTTCCGCAAAGTGGTATGAAAAAAATCATGGAAAGTATCGGTAAATTGATTTAAACTATTACAATGTTGTTTTTAAATTTTTCGTTTTACTTTATTAAAAGTACAATCATTTCAAAGTGAAAATAAAGGTGAAGTTTAGTATAATTTGATAACTTATATAATATTTAAACATTGCTTGACTCATCTTATATATTATGGTAATAAGTTTTTCGAATTTTAGCAAAATTTTCATTAAAATAATTTTTTGCTTTCAAAATCTTCAGTAAATATAATTTATTCATTAAATTATATGCAGAATGAATACATTAATGAGTGCTCTATACAGAAAGGGATCTATCAGAATCATATATCAATATTAGGAAACATATCTTTACTTAGTGATAAGCAGACTGTGCTCATACTCACAAAATTCTATTGCAATCCTAGTCTTCGTGCATCCTTGATTAGACATAACTGATTCATCAAACATAATTTCATTAATTAAACATATTTTCTACTCATTATATATGAACAATTAGATATAGTTGATCCAAAATAATCGTTTAGAACATATAATTTCATTAATTTATGCATAAGAACAAACAGAAGAATTGTATTTTTTTTTTTTTAGGCTTATTAATTATTAATTCTATAACAAACAAAGTTGAAATGAATGATATTTGGAAAAGTGATAAAACTGATACAACGATCGATACATTACATGCAATTAATTCTCTTTGCGAACAGTGGAAATTTGCAATTACAACACTTGTTGAACAATGGAAGGAAGATGTTGATCATCCATGGAAGGGTGATAAACCAATGATTTCAACTTTTGAAATTCTTCAAAAACAGACTGATAAGGTATATATGTGTGTGGATATTTTTGCTTACAAGCATATCGATGCACAGTATTTTATGAGAATAATGTAGAAAATTTACCGTACTACAATGGATAATTCAGTAATTATTAACAGAATTGTTGCATTAATGAATTTTGCACATCGATTGATAATAGCAAAATTTGTTTATCAATAAATATGTAAGTTTATGAAAAAAAAAATAGAATTATAAACTGTATTAGTTAACATTTTCTTTTTTCCCTTTCAATTCATTCGTTTATCAAACTTTTCCATAGTTTAAATTAATTGAATATTAGTTAATTCGATGAAAATACAGTAACATACATTTTATTTAGCTACAATATTACATTTTTAAAATGATAATTAACACCTTAATCTAAACTAGAATGAATAAAAAATTTTCCAATTATATGAAGTATACAATAATAATCATTTTTACAGATTTTATCGTTAAAATTATTAAGCAATCAAATGAATGAATTAATGGAAGATAAGAATGAACAAAAAGAAATGGAACAAATTATTCGAAATATTTTTGGTACAATGCCCATATTTACCTGTAATAATTCAATGCAACAAAATTGGAAAATTAAATTATTGGTCAGTATTGTTGTCATCTCTATTTCATTTTCGCTCCTAATTATTTCAATATAAAATTTTAGCTTTTCATTAATTTTTAATAGTTAAAAATATTTGACTAGAGCAAATAATTCATAGCAATAAATTGAAAATTTATCATGCAATTATATTTTTATCTATTTAAAAATTTTTGAAATGAGAAAAATATAAACGATAGAAAAGTTTGAAAAAGAATTCATCTGCCTGTGTTGTAATATTTGGTTTTTCAGTAATTTAACTTCAGGCGTTGAATTGTCAATTCGTTTTTATTTTTAACAAGTTTTAAATTCATTTTAATCTTACAGATTAAAAGAAAAAAATTTTTTCTGCTACATTTTATATTGTTGATATAATTAGATTTATAAAGTAATTGCAAAGTATCATATTGTTTTGATAAATATATTTTTGTACTAATTCAGGAAGTAGAACGATCCATTGAACCAATTGTGGAGAGAGCATTACCTGTTTTAAGGAAACGCTTACAATTTAATCAAATTACTGATGATGTTGTAAGTTTTCAAAGAAGAAAAACTTTTTTTTTCAAGTTTTTCAATAAATCAATTAAATCTGGTTTTTTTTTTAGAAGTTAAAATTTTAATTAATTATAAAGCATTAAAATGACAGCAACATATTCTTACTGATATAAAAGATTAGGAGCGTCTGCTAAAAGAAAAGTGTAAACAAATTGATTCATAAAATCTTTTATAAACTACAATTATCAATTAATTAATAACAAATGAAATGAGTCACTAATAGGCATATTAATTTTTCTATTTCACCATATTGTATTTTCCCGTTAAATTTTCAGGCAATCAATAATCTTATCAAATTTAAATATTTTTTGAATCGTCCAAGTATTAAAGAAAAACTTTCCATGGAAAGGTAAATATTTCCTTTCATCTTTTTCATTATATTTTGTCAGCAATTTATGGTGTGTTTTAATTTTTGGGAAAAAAAATTTTTTTTTTTTAATTCAGAGAAATGTTGCTTAGTCGTTTGGGAAATGCGGTTGAGGCACAAAAACGTGAAGCAATTGAACGGATTGCAACGAATGATATACCAGTTGGGCAATATCTCACAGAAATTGCTGCTAAACTCATTTGGATTCGACATGAAATTAATAAAGTAATTTAACGAATAGAATTTTTACTCTAATGTTTCTTTTAGTTTAAAATTTTAAAACAAAATTGTAATCGAGCATGATTAAAAAAAGAAACAAATCAGTAAATAAATGGCCTATTTTTAAATGGAATGAATACAGTTATGATATTAATATTTATTGCAATGATATTTTCGATAAAGTTTAATTTCTTAAATTTTATTTATTTTTTTTAAATTTTCAAAACTATGGATAAAAATATTTTAAGGTTGAAAATATCAAAATTGTATGCAACGAATTGTTGAACGATTTAACAACTTATAAAATGGTTGAAACAAAAATTCAAGATACAATTGATGAAATGCATTCATTGGAATCTGATTCTTTTAGTATTTGGTAAGCAAGAAAAGCATATCTAAAATTAAAAAATTAAATAAAAATAAATAGGAATTAACCATGGCATTGTAAAACAACAGAAGTAATTAAAACATGAAATAATTAACCCCAGCATTGTAAAACTTCAAAAAGTTAAAAATTTTAGAAAATATGCCGAGTATTTTTTAATATGTATATATATATTTCTATGTTTTAGAATGTAATTTTTTTTTAACTTGAAGGATAAGTGGAATACTTCAGGTGCCAAGAAATGATTAAAGCAGTTAGCAATTCGACAAATTCAATTGCACTTGAAACAAGTGGTAAGCTAATGAGTATTGAACAGAAAGGTGGTAATTTAATTGTCAACTATAGCGATCGTTTGGTACGACTTCTCAGAGAAGTACGTCAACTAATAGGTCTCGGATTTGTCATACCGCGGAAAATCATTGAATGTGCTAATACCGGTGAACAATTTTACAAATATGCCATCGTTCTTAAACAGGTTATTATACATTTTTAAATTTTAAAATTCTTTAAATTTTTTCGAATTTCTTTTTTTTAAAATTTGATTGAAACATTTCATTGGCTATATGAAACGTTGAAGTACAATAATATAAAAACTAGATTTCAAATTAGATTTCAGCAATTATTAAAAATTTTAAGAAAGTCATAAAAGTACTAAAATACATAAGCATCAATTAGTAATTCAACAAATTCAAATAAAATCTGAGTAGTTTTGACTTAAATAATCCTGAATAAAATTGAATAGTTTTGATGATAGCCACTAAAATCCTTCTTCAAAATTTCGAGTTTCAATTTGATTTGTTTGATTTCAATTATTTTTTATTTTTGCTCCAAAAAATTGAGCTAATTTCTGCAATTAAAGGTAGCACATTTTTATAATTCGGTGGATCAACAAATGCTGCCATGTCAACAAGCATTGATGTTAGACGAAGCTTTGGCTTTCGAAAAATTAATATTATCCGGAAAGAAAGGTGAAAGAACAACAACAAATATGGTTAGCTGGAACAATCCAAAACATCTTCAAGAATTCATTGAAAAATTGCAGGCAGCTGCTGAACGCTTAACTTTACATAATAGGTTAATTAATATTATTTTTGATATCACAATTATAAGCTTATTATTTAACTACCAAAAA